TCTATAGGCGCTGATCAAAACAAGTTCAGCTCAAACCCAATCAACAACAAAATTAACATTTTAATTGTGTACAGTGGTAAGCTGATTCGGGCAACTCATTGACCCTAAATGGAGCATAGAGCCACGCGCGTACGCAGGGGGGGGGGGGGGGGGGGGGGTTGAACCCCTCCCTTCAGTTTTTTTAATGTGTGTAATTAGGAGCAAAACACCCCGGCTGGCTGAGTTTTTTCTGGGACCAAAAAAAAGAAGAAAAAAAGTGTCCTCAGACCCCCCCCCCCCTCCCCCCTGCGTACGCGCCTATTCAGCGGCTGGCTGAGCCGTTGCGAAATTTTCAGCCCGATTTAAAAATGTTACCCCCCCCCCTGAAAAAATCCTGCGTACGCTACTGCCTTGGCTAGATCATCTAGCTAGAGTCAACACGAACATGGCATCTAAGTTACAGCACTATCATCATAGAGCTATATAATTAATAAGACTGGTTAGTCTATAGCTCTATGGGGGGTATTCACTTTCACCTCTCTTACTTGCGTACTAATGGGGGGGGGGGGGGGCTTGTTCAGTTGTTGCCCCTTAAATAAAATTCAGTTTTTCCCCTGGAATCCACATTAAAAATTGACATCATCACTCCATCAGGTTTTTCTCATAACATTATTTGTGCCAAGTAACCTAGATTGCTAGAGATCTATAGCTGTAATATTTGTAGAAAATATATAGAGGAACTACGTTTGGTAAAGCTTGCAAATACAGACACTAGACTCTAACTTAGGTCTATTCAAAAACAATTTTCTTCCTTACCAGTTACAAAGTGTTTGCTGCACAGTACAGCATGTTTCCCTGGGCTCCATCGCCCACCGGTTTTGGTCAGTTTCTGACATGCATTCAACCATTTGTCTCGTCTTTCCGGAGATTTCTTTCTTGAAGGTAACTTGAAGAAAGACAATTTTTCTACACGTTTAAAGTTATGATTGGTGCAGTACACAGCTTCACAGCTTTTAGGCATGATGATAATGAAGAACCAAAACCTGGTGACGCTGCATGCTGACGACGCTGCGCGTACCCGTGTGTACTGAGTACGTATATCATCAACGCAGAGCTAGAGCTAAGAGCGATACACGGTACATGCTTAAATACCGCGCCGCCGCATGGTCGCGTCAATATAACATGACCTCTATTTCGCGCGCAATGCGTCCAACGAGGTGACGTGAAGCTACAACATTTCACCTCGCTCTGACCCGAGGTCACAAGAGTACCCGGATGTCCCGAAAAGTTGCGTCCCCCTATAGGGTAGATTTCTTACTTATCTTAGATATCTCGATTGTATTAGAATACGACATGCTACTTAAGTCCTTTTTCTTAGATAAAATCTAAGAATCCTTCTTAATCTTAAGGCAAATTTCTTAAGTCCCCATTGCTGTTATAGAATACGATTTTTGGCTAAGATTTTTTCTTAGCCAAAATTTAAGAAAAAGTACTTAGATTTCAAGCTTAAGAAGTTTATTGAATACGGGCCCAGGTCACTAAGTTAAGGTCAAAGGTCATTTAAGGTCAACAAACTTAGACTTTGTTGTGGCATCAACATCAAGATTTTCAAAATGCTTCTTCCTCGTTATTTTTCAACTGATTTTGATTCTGATTGTTTCATATGATAGGGGTAGGAGGGGGATTTAAAACTTCTACACAGAATCGTGAAATTCATTATCTATGCTAATTTATGCAAATTTATTCGAAATCACAAAAAATGCTTCTTCTCCTTCATTTCTCGACCAATTTTGATTTGGTTTGCTTTATCTGGTAGAGCTAACTTTGGTACACTAAATTTCTACACCAAATTTTGAAATTGTTCTCCATTAATTATGGTAATTTATGCAAATTTATTCCAAAAATAACAAAAATTGCTTCTTCTCCCTCATTTCTTGACCGATTTTGATTTGGTTTGCCTTATCTGGTAGAGCTAAATTTGGAACACTAAACTTCTACACAGAATTTTGAGATTTTGCTCCATTGATTAATTATGGTAATTTATGCAAATTTATTCCAAAAATAATTTAAAAATCACAAAAAATGCTTCTTCTCCTTCATATTTCGACCGATTTTGATTTGGTTTGCTTTAAATCGTAGAGCTAACTTTGGTACACTAAACTTCTACACAAAATTTTGAAATTGTTTCCATTAATTATGGTAATTTATGCAAATTTATTCCAAAAATAACAAAAATTACTTCTTCTCCCTTATTTCTTGACCGATTTTGATTTGGTTTGCCTTATCTGGTAGAGCTAAATTTGGAACACTAAACTTCTACACAGAATTTTGAGATTTTGCTACATTGATTATTTATGGTACTTTATGCAAATGAAATGAAATTATGTCCCTTCCAGGGCATCAAATTTTTATTTTTTGACCAGTTCAAAAGTGTACCACATAAAATTTACGATATTTGTTGTTGCCAGATGCGGATGAGCGCTACGTCATTGACGTTCTGGTTTATCTGGTTTATTGAATTGCGTTATGCAGGCGAGACCGCCGAGAGCGTTTCCCTTGTTACATTTTTGGAGAGTTTAGACATCATTCTTTGTATAGTGTGAAGTTCCCGGTTTTTTAAAAATAGTTCCACGTTAGGAAGATATATGAATACGAAGATTTCGATCACCTACCGGATGACCATTCGTCAAAGGTGAACAAAATTATGACTTCGAGGTCTGTTTTCTAGGCACAAAGAATGGCGTTATTTCAACATTTTAACCCCATTTCATGTAATTATTTTGGTATTTATCGATTACAAAGATTGACCATGGACAGTGATACGTTTGAATTTGGAAAATTTAGTTTTAGTTTCTGTCTTTGATAAAGAATTGCTCTCAAAACTCCATGAAAATCTGTATGGGGGACAACACTTTACGATACGCCGCTGCCAAATGTTCTTCCTCAATGGAGGAACATTCGCGTGTTTTGGACCATTTTGCGTCAGTTTACCCAACTTTGAGTACCGGTGAAAACATGATTTTTATGTGACTTTTGGAAGCAGAGTTCACTAATTTCCTGTTGGGGAACCTCAAATTAGACAACTGATTTGGCAATTTCAGACATTGCTGAACACATATCGACATCAAAATACATGTTTCTTATTTCGAACAGGTCAGGTTTACGGAAACAAAATTTAGTTACAAAACTAGGAACGACAACTTTTCAAAATGAAACATTGTTGCATGGTGCTGTAAAAACGTCAATTTTGCGGAAATATATTAACATTTTATATAATTTGAAAGGAAATTTTCTAGAGATAGACTTGCACAAACATGGCTGCTCAAAAACTGCGCATGCACGAGGAATGGAGTCTACGTCATCCCTTGCAATATTTTCGCACGATATCATATCTAATATCGTAACTTCTTGTTTGTTGATATTATTCCTCGAGCTGTTTTGAGAGGCACAACAACGCACGCACAATATGCTCATTAGCGAGCGTGCAGCGGTCTGACGTATATATACCTTGTAATTTTGATTTCTTTTGCAATTTAATTGTATCCCCCGGCAGTATGCCGGTGGGGAACTTTGGATTCAGCAGCGTTACGCCGCCGCGTCATATTCCCGTGTGCGCTCTTACTGCCACATTCCTTGACAGATTTCTTTCAAATTTTGTATGGAGGTGTATCTTGGTATAATCTACACACCCATTACTTTGTTGATGCTGCCCTCAGTGTTACGTCTTTTATAGGGTAAAAGGCCATATTTCATTCTTGTGTGCGCTCTAACTGCATCATTCCTTGATGGATTTCTTTCAAATTTTGTATGGAGGTGTATCTTGGTATAATCTATACACCAGAACTTTTGGTGATGCTGCCCCAAGTGTTCCGTCTTTTATAGGGTAAAAGGCCATATTTTATTCTTGTGTGCGCTCTAACTGCATCATTACTTGACGGATTTCTTTCAAATTTTGTATGGAGGTGTATCTTGGTATAATCTACACACCTATAACTTTTGGTGATGCTGCCCCCAGTGTTCCGTCTTCTATAGGTTAAAAGGCCATATTTTTTTGGATGGTTTGTGTGTGCTCTATAGGCCACATTTTTCAAGGGATTTTGTTCAAATTTTTAACAAAGATGTATCTTGGTATAATCTACAAGCATATAGATTTTGGTGATGCTGCCTCTAGTGTTCCATCTTTTACAGGGTCAAAGGTCATATTTTTATAGATGTCTTTGTGGCACTCTAGTTTGCGGTCTAACTGCATCATTCCTTAACAAATTTCTTTCAAATTTTGTGTGAAGGTGTATCTTGGTATAATCTACAGACCTACACCTTTTGGTGATGCTGCCCCCAGTTTTCCGTCTTGTACAGGGTCAAGAGTTCATATTTTGGTGGGTGTCTAGTTTGCGCTCTGCAGATCATATTTCATGATGGATTTCTTTCAAATTTTGTATAGAGAATCAGAAATGTATCTTGTTACCAATCGACACTTTGGGTGAAGCTGCCCTCATTGTTCCGTCTTTTATATGGTCAAAGGTCAAATATGTCTTTAATGCGCTCTAACTGCGACATTTCTTGACGGATTTCTTTTAAATGTTGTATGGAGGTGTGTCTTAGTACAATCATCTACACCTTTTTAGTGTTTGGTGATGCTGCCACCTGTGTTCCGTCTGTTATAGGGTCAAAAGTCATATTTTGGTGGCTGTCTTTTGTGCGCTCTAACTGCCACATTTCTTGACAGATTTCTTTCAAATTTTCTACAGAGATGCATTATACTCTAATCTACACACATATTGTTTTGGTGATGCTGCTCCTAGTCTTGACAATAGTCTGAGCCACTAGTGGCGATCTCTACGTCATCCTTTTGTTTCAGGGAGGGGAGAGGGGATCTTTATCCCTTCTTCGAACATAAGGATGACACAAAATCGCTGCCACTGCCGAGGGATACATTCGCATTGCGCGGCAATACAGATTGCGATATTTCTAGTTTTTAAATTATTTTTAAAATAATTCCATAAATTGGGGTAAAAAAAAATATTCCACCGTTATGAGCGACAGTGTAGGAGTAGGACTTGTAAATGTTAACGGGTTGGAAGCTCTATAAAGAATACATATGGAAGTTTTAATATATCACTCTTACTCAATCATCCTCTTCATAGATGAGAAACTTTAGTGTGTTTTTTTCTAAATAGACAAGAGTTGAATTTGAAAATAAAATCTATTCAATCATTTTTGATGAGGATGTTATGATTAATACCACTATGAAATTAATGGAATCTGTGTGAAATGTAAGAATACAGTCAGAAATTAGTAGATAAAATATATGCATGTATAGACGTGCTGCTTAAATATATTCACAAACAATGCAGGTCCAGACTCTCGAGCTTGATGTAGAGTGTCCCACACCAGCCTCATCACATCACCTTGCAGAATCACTGTGTTCTATGCCAAACCTGACTGACCTGACGCTAGGAAGGAAAATCAATGACGAGCTCTGCTTTGCTTTGAAAGCAAAGGCATCATCCATACAGGTATGTTTATCCTAATGTAAATGTCACGGAGGGTCATTGAAAGGAAGAAACAACAGTAATAATTATATGGTGCACATGCATATATGTTTTTTTCTTCCAAACTTCCTTTTAAAAAAGCCATTTGGCTTATTGTAACAGTCATTAAACATGGAATAAAAGTAAACTACACATGTGCTGACTCAGTTGGAAGTCAAGTGTATATAAGGTTATCATTGTTTTGATTAATAATCAATATCCAACCTTTTCCAAGTTTGATTGATAGCAAAAATAAGTCATATTTGTTTTTTTAAGAGCCACTTTTGATAAAGGCTGAAATTTACCGAACTGAACCAAATTTAGCAACAAACCTCCTGACTTAGGGGTCTTTTTGCACATGAAATTCAGAGTTATGAATACTTTTAATACATTAATAGCAAATGTATATTTATGGGTAATATTAATTTCAGTGTTAGTAGGAGTAGGACTTATCAATGCAAACATATTGGACGCCCTTTAAAGAATACATATAGAAGTTTTCTCTCCATAGAAACGTAAGTGTGTAGTTTTCCTCAATAGACAAGAATGAATGCAACTATGTAATTAATAGAATTGTTGTGAAATGTAAGAATAAAGTGATAAATTAGTAAATAAAACATATTATGCATGTAAAGATTTTGCTGCTTAAATACATTCACAAACAATGCAGGTCCAGACTCTCGAGCTTGATGTTGTTGAGTGTCCAACACCGGCCTCATCACATCACCTAGTAGAAGCACTGTGTTCTATGCCAAACCTGACTAACCTAACGCTTGGAAGGATAATCAATGACGAGCTCTGCTTTGCTTTGAAAGCAAAGGCATCATCCATACAGGTATGTGTATCCTAATGTAAATGTCACGGAGGGTCATTGAAAGGAAGAAACAACAGTAATAATTATATGGTGCACATGCATATATGTTTTTTTCTTCCAAACTTCCTTTTAAAAAAAGCCATTTGGCTTATTGTAACAGTCATTAAACATGGAATAAAAGTAAACTACACATGTACTGACTCAGTTGGAAGTCAAGTGTATATAAGGTTATCATTGTTTTGATTAATAATCAATATCCAACCTTTTCCAAGTTTGATTGATAGCAAAAATAAGTCATATTTGTTTTTTTAAGAGCCACTTTTGATAAAGGCTGAAATTTACCGAACTGAACCAAATTTAGCAACAAACCTCCTGACTTAGGGGTCTTTTTGCACATGAAATTCAGAGTTATGAATACTTTTAATACATTAATAGCAAATGTATATTTATGGGTAATATTAATTTCAGTGTTAGTAGGAGTAGGACTTATCAATGCAAACATATTGGACGCCCTTTAAAGAATACATATAGAAGTTTTCTCTCCATAGAAACGTAAGTGTGTAGTTTTCCTCAATAGACAAGAATGAATGCAACTATGTAATTAATAGAATTGTTGTGAAATGTAAGAATAAAGTGATAAATTAGTAAATAAAACATATTATGCATGTAAAGATTTTGCTGCTTAAATACATTCACAAACAATGCAGGTCCAGACTCTCGAGCTTGATGTTGTTGAGTGTCCAACACCGGCCTCATCACATCACCTAGTAGAAGCACTGTGTTCTATGCCAAACCTGACTAACCTAACGCTTGGAAGGATAATCAATGACGAGCTCTGCTTTGCTTTGAAAGCAAAGGCATCATCCATACAGGTATGTGTATCCTAATGTAAATGTCATGGAGGGTCATTGTTAGAAAAAACAGCGGTCATAGTTATATGGTGCTCATGTATAGGTTTTTTTTCTTCAAACCCCCTTTGTTTAAGGCCATTCACTTGATATATTGGAAAAGTCATGAAACATGAAATGAAAGCAAACTACATGTACTTATTCAGTGGAAATTAATGTGTGTGTATAAGATTCACATTGTCATGATCAATAAACAGTATCAAACCTTTTCCAAGTTTGATTAATATGAAAATTATGTCCTATATTCTTAAGAGCCAATTTTGATAAAGGCTTGAATTTACCAAACTGAACCAAAGCAACAAGCCTCCTGACTAAAGGATCTTGTGCACATGAAATTTCAGTGTTAGTAGGAGTAGGACTTATCAATGCATTTTTTAAAAATCACTCTTACTTATCAGCCTCTCAATAGAAACTTTAATGTTCTTTTTTCAATAGAAATAAAATAAATTTGACAAATTGAAAATCAATTCATTCATTTGTGTAATTAATGGAATTTGAATGAAATGTAAGGATACGGTGAGAAATCAGTAAATCAAATGTATGCATGTATAGATGAGTAACTTAACTATATTTCACCATGAATGCAGGTCCATTCTCTCAAGTTTTATGGTGTCGAGAGTCTCACACCAGCCTCATCACATCACCTAGCAGAGGCACTGTGCTCTATGCCAAACCTCACCGACCTGACACTCGCTGAGGAGGATCTCAATGAGGAGTTCTGCTCTACATTGAAAGCAAAGGCATCATCCATACAGGTATGTGTGTCCTAATGTAAATGTCAAGGAGAGGGTTATTGATGGACAGAAAGAGCAGTTATGGTTAAATGGTGCACATGTATATTTGTTTTGTTTAAATCTCTTTTTAATTTTTTTTTCTTCAACAAAGTTACTAAAGTCACGAAAGCTGTGCAAATCTCTACTTGGAAATTTGGTAAATTGATTGTGACAGAGTTACAGACAACTCTCCTGTTTGACAAGTAAAAAAATATGAAAATAACTGTTTTACTCCTAAGCACGTTCTCTGTTGGGGAACTCAAAATAATTGTGGATAGCGTATTATTAAAGCCTAAAAAAGAAAAGAAACTCCTAAGTCATAGAATTTGATATGTAATTTGTTATGAAATATATTTGACTGTGACAAGAAAGAAAATTAAACAAATAAAAGTTTACTGCCTGAAAATGAGGTGGCAGTGCCTGAATATGGTGAATTAAAACTTCCAGGGGGAGGGGGGGGGGGGGGGGAGGGGTGGGAAGGAGGAAGTAGTTTCACTTGTCAAACAGGAGAGTTTCAATTTATTAATAGCCAATGTATTTTTATGGGTATTATTAATTTCAGTGTTAGTAGGAGTAGGACTTATCAATGCAAACATGTAAGAAGTCCTTTAAAGAATACATATAGATTTTTTTTTTTAGATCACTTTTATCAGCCTCTCCATAGAAACTTTAATGTTCTTTTTATCAATAGACGTACAAAAAAATTAAAAATCAATTCATTCATATTTGTAATTAATGAAATTTGAATGAAATGTAAGGATACGGTGAGAAATCAGTAAATCAAATGTATGCATGTATAGATGAGTAACTTAACTATTTTTCACCATGAATGCAGGTCCAATCTCTCAAGTTTGATGGTGTCGAGAGTCTCACACCAGCCTCATCACATCACCTAGCAGAAGCACTGTGCTCTATGCCAAACCTGACTGACCTGACACTTCGAGGGGGTCTCAATGAGGAGTTCTGCTCTACATTGAAAGCAAAGGCATCATCCACACAGGTATGTGTGTCCTAATGTAAATGTCAAGGAGAGGGTTATTGATGGACAGAAAGAGCAGTTATGGTTAAATGGTGCACATGTATATTTGTTTTGTTTAAATCTCTTTTTAATTTTTTTTCTTCAACAAAGTTACTAAAGTCACGAAAGCTGTGAAAATCTCTACTTGGAAATTTGGTAAATTGATTGTGACAGAGTTACAGACAACTCTCCTGTTTGACAAGTAAAAAAATATGAAAATAACTGTTTTACTCCTAAGCACGTTCTCTGTTGGGGAACCCAAAATAATTGTGGATAGCGTATTATTAAAGCCTCTCTAAAAAGAAAAGAAACTCCTAAGTCATAGAATTTGATATGTAATTTGTTATGAAATATATTTGACTGTGACAAGAAAGAAAATTAAACAAATAAAAGTTTACTGCCTGAAAATGAGGTGGCAGTGCCTGAATATGGTGAATTAAAACTTCCAGGGGGAGGAGGGGGGGGGGGGGGGGGGGGGGAGGGGTGGGAAGGAGGAAGTAGTTTCACTTGTCAAACAGGAGAGTTTCAATTTATTAATAGCCAATGTATTTTTATGGGTATTATTAATTTCAGTGTTAGTAGGAGTAGGACTTATCAATGCAAACATGTAAGAAGTCCTTTAAAGAATACATATAGATATTTTTTTTTTAGATCACTCTTATCAGCCTCTCCATAGAAACTTTAATGTTCTTTTTATCAATAGACATACAAAAAAATTAAAAATCAATTCATTCATATTTGTAATTAATGGAATTTGAATGAAATGTAAGGATACGGTGAGAAATCAGTAAATCAAATGTATGCATGTATAGATGAGTAACTTAACTATTTTTCACCATGAATGCAGGTCCAATCTCTCAAGTTTGATGGTGTCGAGAGTCTCACACCAGCCTCATCACATCACCTAGCAGAAGCACTGTGCTCTATGCCAAACCTGACTGACCTGACACTTGGAATGGTTCTCAATGAGGAGTTTTACTCCACATTGATAGCAAAGGCATCATCCATACAGGTATGTGTGTCCTAATGTAAATGTCAAGGAGAGGGTTATTGATGGACAGAAAGAGCAGTTATGGTTAAATGGTGCACATGTATATTTGTTTTGTTTAAATCTCTTTTTAATTTTTTTTTCTTCAACAAAGTTACTAAAGTCACGAAAGATGTGCAGATCTCTACTTGGAAATTTGGTAAATTGATTGTGACAGAGTTACAGACAACTCTCCTGTTTGACAAGTAAAAAAAATATGAAAATAACTGTTTTACTCCTAAGCACGTTCTCTGTTGGGGAACTCAAAATAATTGTGGATAGCGTATTATTAAAGCCTCTCTAAAAAGTCATAGAATTTGATATATAATTTGTCATGAAATATATTTGACTGTGACAAGAAAACAAATAAAACTTTACTTCCTGAAAAATGAGATGGCAGTGCCTGAATATGGTGAATTAAAACTTCCAGGGGAAGGGGGGGGGGGGGGTGGGAAGAAGGAAGTAGTTTCAGATCCCCCCTCCCCTTCTTCCCACAGAGAGCAAGCAGAAATGATGAGATTTTCATTCAGTTATGATGTAGTCCCTACATGTATGATGTATCCAATTAAAGCAGAAAAAGGGAAACTACCCATTTTTTATAGCTCAAGTGAGCTATTAATAATAATAAGAGAGGGTTCTTGTATAGCGCTCATGTCTGTCATACGTGACACTCCTAGCGCTCCCAATTATTACCCTGGCTTTAGCACGGCTGCCATACGGCGCTCTAGCATTTCAAGGAATTAATTCCTGCCAGGTACAAATTTTCATCACCTGGGTTGAGTGTGGCAAATGTAGATCAATGTCTTGCCAAAGGACATTAGTGCTGCGGCGGGAGTTGAACTGGGACCTTGTGATCGACAGTCCGGCGACATATCCACTCAACCACGACACCTCCACATTGGTGTGATTTATTGCATTTTGACCGTCCGTATACTTTTTACATTTATAACTTCTTCTCAAAAACGTGTGGCAAAATATTACCAAAACTTGGTAGGAAACACGTACATGAAAGGGAGATCTAAAGTTGTTCAAATGGGGTATATGCCCCCGAGGGGCTTAAGGGCAGCATCCCCCAAAGTGCCCATATGGCAATAATTAGACATTCTGTACTGTTTTTAAAGGGGATGGGAGCTGGGTCCCTTATTGTGAGGCCCCTACTTCCATTGGCTCAGGTGAGTGTAAGGTCAGTGGACCTCTTGTTTTTAACGTGATATTTATGGCAGGATGTATAAAATTGTGGGCTGCTGTTTAAGATCATTATAGTAGGGATATACTAATGTCTTAAAATGGTATTTTCAACCTTGTTTTCACCTTCTGTAGCTTGCCCCTTTCTGTTAGTTCTCCCTTCATTTTGAAGGATGCTCCTGGGAGTAGTTGCCCTAGGGGTAGTTGTCCTGGAAGAAGTTGCCCTGGGGTCCAGGGGGTAATTGTCATGGGTTTGATCACTCCAGGACGTAATTATCCCGAGGCTGATTGTCCTTGGGGGTACTGTATAATTATAAGCAGTGATTATCGCAGGGATTTAATATTGTAAATTTCACTAACACTCACTGTTTGCAAATTTAACAATGCGTGCAACTTACTTCCAGCAACTGATATGGCGTGAAAAAATCACTAACATAAGCCCAGTTGCATGTCATAAATCGTGTCTATGCACTTCCAAAGTGGGGGGGGGGGGGGGGGACCAACCACCCCTATTATGTAATTACATTATCAGGGATGATTTCAATATTTACTTCTTTGTTTCCATGGTTCAAGATACTGCTTTAGAATCATACTTTGCAGTTGGGTGTGATGGTCCAAATATTAATATTAATTTGAAATTTGTGAGGTCGCAGTGCGAAAATTACATCTTATAAAGAGGAAAAAACTATCCTGATTGGTTAGTAAGAACAATCTAATCATGAAAGACAGAGAAGACCTTTGATAAGGAACATAATTACATCAATTAAAAATGCGTGCGAGGGGAAAATTAAAGAATAAGTTGCTTTTAGTTGTTTTAAATTAGGGGCATATTTTATGGTAAAAGGCAAAGGGGACACTTTTCAAAAGGGATAAAGAAACATTTTAGAAAAGAAAAGGCGCATGTGTCAAAGTAAAAGGGTAATTATCAGTGGTGAAAATGTGGCACTTCTCACACCTGAAAAGGGGCATTCATCAGAGATGCACTTATGAGATTACATACCTGCCAACCCTTCTAAATAATCCGGAATATTACGTTTTTCTGGATTTCTAGGACCTGAAAATCCGGAATATTCTGTTTTTTCAATATTTTGTTTTTGTTGTTGTTTGTTGCGCTTAAGCCAAATTAAGCTTGTTATAACATGTGCCGGAATGTGTGAGTTCACATATTGTGAGCGTTGAATGGCTGCATGATCGGGCAGCGAATTTGTATTCGCTTATTGGTACAGATTTACCGTGTATTGCCAGTGACGCTGCCGCTGCTAGTGCGATTTCTTATTTTCGAAGACATACCGTGCTAAAAATTCCTAATTCTTATTTTCAAATGTTGGCAGATATGAGAACAGAAAGTAGGCACTTAGTTTTATAGGAAAAGGGGCACCTATCAGATTTTAATAGGGGCAATTATCAGAGGTGAAGGGGGCACCTATCAGAAACGAAAAGGGGCACCTCTCCTACCTGTTAAGGGGCACTTATGAGAATGGAAAATGGACACTTATTGCAAAGAGAAAAGGGGTATTTGGGGGGGGGGTACTCCCCCCCCTCCCAAAAGCTGCCTCTGTATGACCACATTATGACGGGGCACTTCAATGAAATGTTTATCTACTGCACAAAATTGCTCTTACTCTACCTTCTTTTATTTCTCCATACTTCTTTTTGTTCTTCTTATTTTCATTGTTTTAATAAGGGATCTAACTGTAGCTCTTGAGTGTATATTCTCAAGAAAATAGATTATATACCAGAATAAAATAGATCCAATTACTTGAAACTGATACAAGGTTTACATGCAATTTTGCTGTTATATGTTACAGGGTTGTTTTCCTCAGATCAGGAATGGAAACTTCAGGTTCAATGGAGCTGCTCAAGATGACTTGAACTCATTTATTCACACCCTCACTCGTTTGCAAAGGTTAGTACAGTATATATGATTTTAAAATAACTCGGATAACAGCATTTATACATTTCATGAATAGTACAATACAGAAACAATATAAAGAGACTCTAATGGAATACTAAGAAAAGATACAATAAAGTGATACTGTGTATCTTGAAATAGTTTTTTTGTCTTACAAAACTAAAATTAAGTAATGGCTTTATTGAACAAATTCCCTACTGTAAAGTGCTTTCCACCTTTAATTTGTAGATTCTTTTGTGTTTCTTGTTTTTGTCTCGCCTGCGTAGCAAAAAGCGAGACATAGGCGCCGCTTTTCCGGTGGCGGCGGCAGCGGCGGTGACGGCGTCAACATCAAAAACTTAACCTAAGGTTAAGTTTTTGAATTTTTGATATAATTTTAAAAGTAAAAGTCCTTAGTCAATGAAACTTGGACTATAGGATTATCAAGTATCCCCAATCATGTGAGTTGAATTTCAGGTCACAGAAGGGCAAAGGTCATTTCAGGTCAACAGACTTAGACCATGTTGTGGCATCATCATTGAAAACTTAACCTAATGTTAAGTTTTAGAATTTTTCATATAACTTTGAAAAAACAAGTTCTTAGTAAATGAAACTTGGACTATAGGGTGATCAAGTATCCCCAATCATGTGAGTAGAATTCAGGTCACTAAGTTAAGGTTAAAGGTCATTTTAGGTCGACAAACTTAGACTTTTTTGTGGCATCAACAGCAAGATTTTGAATTTTTAGCATATTTTCAAAGTGTTTGTTCAAATTCCATGAAACTTGTACCCAAGGGTTATCAAGTATCACAAATCATATGACACAAATTGCAGGTCACAAGGTCAAAGGTCATTTTAGGTCAGTAGACTTGGATTATGTTTTTACAACTTAATATGAGAATAAATTAATCAATTTTTGTTATTTGTTCATGATTCTTAGTCAATATTCACATCAAAATGATGATGATTATATTCAGAGGATTTCATTTTTCTGGGCCTGCTAATGGGCCACCCTGCCTATAAATAATGTTCCAACCTCAATTTTTCATCATATCGAATTGCGTAATGCAGGCGAGACCGCCAAGAGCGTTTCCCTTTTTTGTATTTGTCTTACACCGTAGTCCTTACAAGAGGCAAGCTCCTTCTACTCAGTCAAGAGTTCAATTGGGACACTTCGATAAATCACTTTCATTCATTCCTCCCGAAATATTTATTTACTGCACACAATATTTCTTACTCTACCTTTTTGAATTCTCCATACTTCTTTTTGTTCTTCTTATTTTTATTTTATTTTAATAAGGGATCTAAATGTAGCTCTTGAGTGTATATTCCCAAGAAAATAGATTATATACCAGAATGAAAACAGTATATATGGTTTAAAAAAAAAATCAGATAATAGCATGTAAACGTTATATAAATGGTGCACTACAGAAACAATAATTATAAAGTGACTCTTATGGAATGCTAAGAAAATAAACAATGCTGATACCACTCAGGGAGCATGCAATAAAGTGATACTGTATCTTGAAATAATTTAAGATTTCTTGTCGGGCAAAACTAAATATTCAGTTTTATTGAACAAATTCCCTACTAGTACTGTAAAGTGCTTTCAACCTTTAATTTGTAAATTCTTTTGTGTTTCTGGTTTTTAGTGTATGTTTTCTTGATATTTTTGTTACTCTATAGTTGTAGCAGGCCTTACAAGAGGCAAGCTCTTTCTACTCAAGAGGTCTACAAGATGATCCTGAAATTCCAGAGAAGCAACCAAAGTATGAATTCTAGTTGGTATGGTATTGGTAGAGTAAGACAATGTCCCAGTGGTAACACTTCATCTTGACTTTTTACAGGGCTCTAACTTTTCTTTTTTGAAAGGAGGTTCTATTTAACTTTTAACAGTCTGTATGTATGAGTCCTAAGTAAAAACTTCCAAATTTGGGGGGTCCGGACCTTGATGAGTACAGTCCACTATCTGGTGTTATTGTGTAAATTTTCGAGAAAGAGATTATGACATTGTCACAATGTTTGAAAACATGTGAACAGCCTATGTAGAAAGTGATGCGAAAATAGGATACGTTTTGTGAATGTGTACTCCATAAACATGTGAACGGCCTATGTAGAAAATGATGTGAAAATAGGATATGTATTGTGAATGTGTACTCAATAAGCTCAAAACAGAGTAGCATCAAGAGCCCATTGTGTACTTGTTTTATGATTGAAGGGATCATTTTTTTCTGGAAACTATTTTGAAAATACTCTAAATTTTAGGTCATTTTTGACTCGGCTATGATCATGCATTATGCCTGTGTATAGAAGGTGACAACACCAGGGACTAGTAGTTATAATGATAATAACAGTGGCTTCTGATATAGTACACACGCCATCAAGCCATGACACTCCTGGCGCTCAAACATTATTACCATGGTCCTAGGCAGCGGCCAAATATGTAGCACTTTTGGCATATCAGGTGCCTATTTATACTGGGGTTGAGAGTGGATGAATGCCTTGTCAAGGATGTTAGTGCATTAGACACTTTATGTAGTGCATGTACCAAGTATATGTTAGTGCACGCCTGCACGGCCCTATTGTAAAACAGCTTAACAGCTGAACTGGGCTTTTACCGTGAATAAATCAAATCAAATCAATATGTGTATTGTAGACTTGTACCATTTTCATTTTAGGTGATTTGTATGCAATGTATGAAACCACTCAACTTTCACAAAGTGAGTTATGAAGTTAAGTATATAATATTTCAAATTATCATATCAAAATATCCCTGTATATGTCATTGTCATTGACATGTTCTATATAAATACAATTTATGAAGTAGAATCTAAATTAACTTGTGAATTACCAGAAATGACCTAGATGTTAAGAGCCACATTGCTCTAGTTATCATGTCAACAAACTTGATAGAACTCAGTATACGGTACTTGAGAACTAGCTTTGTCTGGTAAGGGTGTATGTCATAGGCCTCAGTTATCAGTGTAACGTCTTATCTGACATGGATTGTTGTTTGTAAATTTAGAGCTACATCCAGTTCTAGATTTTAATATCCATCTGAAGAAATATTTTCCAGGATTTACTTTACATCACTCCAGTGAATATGTAAATATGCTGCTATAATTTTAAGATACATGTCTCTTTTTGTCAATGTAACATGCCTGAGTTATCAGTGTAATATTTAATTTGACGAGGTAAATTCACCAGTACTATATAATAAATCCATTCGAGGAAATTTGTTTCCAGGATTTTCTTTACATCATGCCAGTGTACATGTAAATATGCTACTATAATTGTATGATACATGTTTTTCTAATTGTATTCAGTACTGGACTTCAATAATGTTGATGATACGTATTCCAGGCTTTTCTTTGCATCATTATGATTATGATTATGCAATGTTAAGATACATGTATATTTTGAACTTGTATATATTTGCCATACATACTTGCCTTGTAAATAAGTTTGATATTTTAGAAAGTTTGCATTCCAGATTGGCTTATAACATACAATGGTAGATACTACTCTTATGCGCATTCCGTTACCTTGCCTTTTGATCACCATCCTCTTCTGATTAAGTGATGACATCTTTATAACCAACTCTGCTTTTCATGATAGACAATGCTCAGATCTGTGAGTTTATTCTGAATTATGTCATGCAAAAGGATGAACTAAACAGGTCTTTCTATGTATATATTGGATGATCATGAATAACTGAAATGAAGTTTGCAGTGCCTTAGATATTTCAACAGTTTAATGTACAAAGGAGACAAAAGAACTTGCAAGTTGTAGTTTGATGATGATGTATTTGTTAGTGAGTATCCTACTAGCTAAAACGGTGTCACATACACGACACTCAACATTCCGTTATATTTGCACGACTGTACAATATAACAACCTTATTTTGCATGATATAACGCATGCAAAAGTGAATTAGACTGCGCATATCTCTTCTAGTTCTCTACGCGTTACCCATTGTTTGCATCGTCTTAACTGCACGCACCAGGCGCGAAGGCAACCTGAAAGTAATCAAGAGGGCCTGACTCCAAAGGTTCGCAAATACCCACAATTGTATATAATAAATATTCCATGTAATTCATTGTACAGTGTAATATGTATTCATCTCCAAATTCAGAATTCTTTTCATGCCATTATATAAATTATTACAAATTATTTCATTCACCCGTTACAAATAATTGTATTTTAATAATCAGGATTGAAATTGCATATATTACATGTTGTTAGGTAGGGCAAGCCATAATGTTTGTCCTACCTAGCAACAACTAATGTTTGCCATTTGAATTCTGACTATTGAGATACATTGATTCGTAACAGGTGAATGAAATAATTAGTATCGAAAATGGCCTATTGATGTGTTTGTCATGAGCAGTCATGATTCTAAATTGATTAAAAAAGGAAGATTTAAATTATCAATCTCTGATGTCTTTGTCTGATGTAAAATCTAGGATAGACATGGGAAGACGATGAGAGAGAGAGAGAGGGGAAGGGGGGATAGGGAGGTAGAAAGAGCAAGAGAGGGGGCTATGACAGAGTGAGGGAGGGAGGGGTCTACGGAGGGAGAGAAGAGAGAAACGGGACCCACACATTTAAACTTCAAAGGGATGAAGCAAGAAAAAACAAAAATATAGAGGAGCAGAAAATGAGATGCTAAGAAAAACAAACGGGGAATTTAAAAAGATGAGAGAGAAGATCAATAAAAGGGGAATTCAACAAAAAATAATAGCCAAGGACAAAGCATGGGAAATGATAGCTAGATGACTTTGGAGGGTGAAGAAAGAGAAGAAAAAAAAGAGGGGGAGGGGCACAAAGGAAATGGGGAGATGTGAGAGAGACAGACATACATCAATATTGATGAAGAGAGATATGAAGAAGGATGACGAAGGAAGAGAGGGTGGAGGCAAAACAAGAGAGAGATAACTGTATGTAGCAATGATCGAGTGATAATGGGGAAGGGGAGTTAAAGCATGAGAAACTGTAAACGGGTGATACAAAGAGATGAGAAACATTCATGATTAGTAGAGGAAAGACGAGTAGAGGAATGTAAGTGAGAGGAGCAGAAATAAGGGAGATATACCGGTACAAAAATAAACAGAAATATGGAGGAATGTGACATGAGCTAGAGAGAGAGAGAGAGAGAGCGAAGACAATACGGGGGTGAAGAGAGAACTGAAAGATTGGGAGGAAGAGAGAGAGAGAGAGAGAACAAAATAGTGAGAGACACCATGAGAACTAAATGGAATGGTATTGCGTCTTATTTTGAATTGTATATATTTTGTATGTGATTTGTTTTTAATGTATGCACGGACTTGCAGAAGAACAGCCATTGGCTGAAGCAAGTGATCCGTGTTGAAATAAAATGAGAAAAAATGTTTTGGGGAATCTACTTCTATCTTTATTGATAGGGTCCAATCGTCAAAGGGCACGCCATAGAGACCAGAGGGCGGAGCTCCGGACGCTCTCGGACGCTCTCGAGTATCGAGTAAACGACCCTGGAGTGTCGCCCGCTGACTGCGAGATAGCACAGATACAAATATGCCATTTATATAATGTATTCAAATTTTATGCATAAATGTTTGTTAAGTACCAAATAATTGTATTTCAAAAGTCAGAATGCGAATTACATACATTCCATGTTGTTAGGTAAGACAAGACAAGCCATAATCGTTGTCCTTCCTAGCAACAACTAAAATTAGCATTCCGTTGAAATACAATTATTTGTAACAGGTGAATAAAATAATTTGTAACAAAGATTTACGCATCAAATTTGAATACATTACGAACATGGTTTATTCTAGCTTCACTGACCATAACTGTAGTAGTGAAGCATTGAGCATTGTTCATAGTTAATTTCACAAGCATGTTTTCTTCGTGGAATAGTGTCTGATGATTTATTAATACAAGTGCATATTTCTTCATTACACAATGTGAACATATATAAACTGTAAGATGGCAGCTGAAGGTTCATGAATCATGCATTAGTGACGGGGCGAAGAAGTGAAAAAGTGATGTTTATTCATGAGTGAGTCACGACACCGAATCAACTAGTCAACTGTCGGAGGAAATGAGACATTAATAACTTTTTTTCTTCTATGGAAATCCGTTACAACTATTTGCTATTTCTATGGATCATTTCTTCTTCTATTGAAGATATTTTCGATATGCAAGAATTAGAATGTGATAAAACCTTAATACCATGGACGTTGTATTCCTCGGTTAAGACTGAATCAAATACCAACTAATGTACGTAGGCAAAGATCGACTATTCATAACGCAACAAAGGAGAAAAAACACACTCTTCTTACCGCTTATCACTCGAAAAAATGAAAGTCTAGCCTGTATGAGCTTGTCTTGAAATCTTGTTCCCCCTCTTCCCTTTCTCATTTCTTCTTGTTCGTTTTCTTGTCCCGACTTTTAAAATCTTGTTCTTCTTTCATTTTCTTCTTCCTTCTCTATACCACTGAAAGATGGCCTAATCAATGTAGTTTCAAATTCTTAAATCATGCACCATTAACAGCTTGACTGCTTTCGTGTGATGTATATGTAATTTTATTTGATTAAACATGCGTTTATTCATATTTGCTTAGCTACCTTCATGAATGATATGTGTGTATTAGCTAAGTATATAAGGTCTTTAATTTAAGGCTATCTTTAGAGGGCTACCTACATGTAACCATATTGTGATTGATTTGTAATGTGGTATTCTCATCTTCTGGATAAGTGAATGAGATGAACAAGTCATTTTGAACATTCTTTTGTTGTCGAGCCATGCATGCATTCATTCTCTTATCCAGTTTGTAATTATCACCGACCAATGAACAAGTATAACAAAATGTTGTACATAATGACGCGGGAGAAGCACAACCACTAGATAGGAATTTTTATTTTCTGCAATGATTTACTTTCAACTAATCACTTACACCAAACATTGATTACATTATTTTGTATTTTGTATTTATTAACATTTATTTCCTTCTCTACAGTACAATATGAAACACAATGTATATATAAATGATATATGTAACAATAATTTCAACATAGAGTATACAGTAAATAATTCAGATACAGAAGGAGGTGAAAATTCGGAAAGCATAGCTTGAGTTGGGCCTAAAATACTGTTTAATATATATTATTATATATGATTATTATATATTTTGAATTGGTTGCTTTTTAATACACGACTATCATTTTCCACCTGCATTTGTAAGGATATTTCTTACTGTATAAAGACTACATCAAAGCACATATAAATACTTTAGGGAATACTGGGATACATCGAAAGTATAATTTGTTTTGAATTAGCATATGCATTTTCTGCTCTAAATTCTCTCTCAGACATACAGGTAAAACAAGGAATGTATACATCAATTATTGTCCACGGGCGTTATTGTCCAGGAGGTAATTTTCCGGGGTTATTGTTTTTCACCTTTTAATTATTCAGAATTATATATGCCTAGATATACTTTGTCTAGTTCTGATATTCTTTGACTAATGCAGAACGCTGCAAAACACAAAGAAGTTTCTGTAAAATTCAGGTTTTCTCAATCCGTTCAACATTAGCTTAACGGGTAAGAGCCCTCTGAGGTTCAAGTACAGCCAGCATACCATACCATACCACGAATGGTGGACCCGAATATCCGGTAAAGGGTCACGAACAGGAGCCAAATTATTTTTGACTTTAGTTGTCTGTCTGAGTTTTCTCGTATTTTAATTTAGGGAGCAAGTTTGTATCAAAGTGGAACGAAGTAATACCCAAATTTGGACATGTTTAGACTTCAGATAGTTTTACATTATAACTTTACTCTACAGAATCTATTCGACAAACATGTTTTTGAGCTTTTAACCACCCACGCTCATCGGGTTACAATCAGTGATCATAAAATGATTTTGTTTAAAGTAAAACCTACCAGCGTGAACACCTTTACAAAAGATTACAATCAGGGCACGTTTCCTTTCAGAACGTTGCTTTCAGTTCAAATGTGTTTTTTCTTTTTTTCTTTTACCCTTGTTACAAGCCCAGCTGTAAGGAATATATTATTCACCTACGATACTGTGTACCACGGTATGACTAATGGGATCCGACTAAGATTTGTGTGGTTTCCAGGCAATTTTTTTCTCTCTCTCT